AAAGCTTCAAGGTCACAAGACGAAGCTAAGGAATGTACGTCTAGGCTTACACAGACAAACGTTCGTGCAGAGACAGATTGCTTATGGGTGAGGCAGATGGATATACAGGGTGTTAATAAAGTATGTAGACAAGCTTTAACTATCGAATCCTTGGTCAATTTGAAGACAAAATGTTCATATGAACCTGGGTCCGTAACAGCTTTCTTTTCGAGCTAGAACTAAAGAAATACGAGTAATGTTCCAAATAATTCTATGAATAATGAAAAGTATTATATTAAACAGTTGGTATAACCTATGATAAATTTTGCATGTTTTACAAGTTGTTGAGACTTAATATGAACGTGGATGAAAATAATATTATCCTGTATTTTTGGAAAAAGAATATTTAGAAGGTCAATAGTTTTGAACAGCAACATTCGAATAGAACGACAACAATAGAAAATATACAATAGTTTTTTTTTACAATAAATGCTCAAATCGGCCACGAATTATTTGAGAGAATGAATTAATTCAATTGTTTTCGGGTACGTCATAGGTGTCTAGATACGCACAATGCTTAAATATTAAAAGTATTGCGAACAAAACAAAATCAATGTCATGCTATTTTTTAAAAAAATACTGGAACATTATCCGTATCTACGTACATGGAGTGTCTGAAAACAACTGTAAATCATGATATTCACCACAGGGCATACTTAATTAAAATAAAATACGTTCCATGCTTTCATAACTTTTTAGAAAAATATCATTTCTTTTAGTGCTAATATGCTCTAGCTTGAAAACAAAGCCTTTGCGGACCCATGCCCATATGGAAATTTCGTCTTCAAATTGACCAAGGATTCGATGGTTAATGTTTGTCTACAAACTTTATTAACTCCCTGTATAAAAGTGATGCCGGTAGTTTTGGTGTGAGCTACCAAAAACCGTATGAGGTATCCGTCCTCAATTAATTAGCATTCTTGTACCATTTTTGCCTTGACTATCAATGGAAGATTGTCCACCTCTAAATTTCGCAACCTGTATCTATAGCAATGTGTAACTGTTTTTAAGCGGGTATTCTCTCCCTCGAATTGTGTAGACGACTATGTACGGAGTGTAATAAAAATATATCGACCGCTTTGAATTTTTAATGAACTACCACATAGCGTGGTGTAGAAAATGCTGTTGGTATATGTAACTTTTGAAGCTCAGCTCGTGGCGTCTTTACAGATTTTATTGAATGATTATGCACTCTTTGGTATGAGCTAACTATAATCGGATAACCCTCTCAAACGACTAATGTTTTTTTTAATATTCCTATTATCAGGCCAGGGAGATCACTATTTGCAGTAGACGTTTTTCGGAATTACGAATATTTTAAAACAATGTATTTAACAACGGTCGACCGATTCGTTAAAAACAGTAGCTTTTTCAGGTATGTTCAATATATTTTAAAAAGTAATAACCTTAGGGCAAAATTCGAAGATGTATAACTCGCCATTTTTGTCTGGCCGAATCAAACCAGATATGTCTCAAACCTCTTATTATTGTTTGACATTTTGGCCTCAACGGTGACTTGTACGATTGACACTTTTTTGACAATAAATTTCATTTATTTGTCATCCAGGTGACACTTTGTTTGTATTGCCCTTTCATTTTTCATCATTGCAACTTTAAGATGCATGTTATTACCATTCATTCTTCAACAATTACGTTTGGATTTTGTGTTATTTTGCAAATTTCGATGCTCTTTCGCCAAACTTTTCCAGAAAATTTCGCGAAGGAATCAATTTTAATGTTTTCAATATTTTACTTGCTAATATATTTGTGAAACTAGTTGACAAACGAATTCATTTCGAAGAAGCAACAGTTCTAGGAAATCTGTGTCTGTTACATAAACGTGCTTATGTAGTTTGTTCAGTAGCTTATTTAATAAGCGGGAAACCTAACATATATGCGAAGGTTATACGTTCTTAGATGTATCAGTTTTCTAGATCCCATTAACCGGAAAACATATGTTGCTTCTGTCATCATATAACCTCATTCAATCTTTATTTCCCATTGAATTTCACATATGAATAGTCTAGTAAAATCTTGTTATCAAGTGTGTGACTAAAATATATCTACAATGAGGTAAACAACCAAAAAATTAGCGAACTTTTAACAAGGAGAAGTTACAATATGAGTACATCTGGGTAAAAAGGTTAAACCACCAATCATCCGTAGACTTGAAATATCCCTTAAAGTTAAAAATGATAAAACCTTGTGGATTATTCTTGCTTTTATTATTGACCTTACAGCTACAAATACCGGACTTTGCTATAAACAGTCTAATGATTGATTTGTCATAAAAGTTTACGTTTCGGTTAATTCCGGTATCTTACACTAAAGTTAGTGTTCAAATTGCTTGTCATGTTACCATTACAGCTAAATAATACAAAAATTATCCCATTGCATGTCCGTAGCATGACCTACATTTCAATAAACCCCACTTATTTCTATTTCCGGGAGTTATGTATAATAACATTGAAATAGCTGGATGGTAGCTACCCTTTAGTGGTGTTAGTAAGAAAATCAGTCACTTCCAGTATTATAACAACTTCGATTCTCCTGAGAAGAAGGGTAATCGCTCTTTGGTAACAAGGGTGACCCAAAAGACCTGTAGTCAAAACATATTTGGCAATAGTCAAGGGGTATAGAAAAAGTAAAATAATAAGGGTTTTTCCTGACGATTCACTGACGACTTTGAATTTGAGTATGACTTTGGCCACGACATGCACTCAAAAGTCAAGGCGATCTTTTTAAACGGGACCCTATACTTCTGACCTTGAAAATGGATACTAGCTGTAAGTCATACGTGGTACGATACCCTTGATTTTTGACCTTGGAAACGGATACATCGGTAAGTTATACGTTCAGATATGACCTTGGAAAACAACTATTTTGACTGGCTCAAAGTTACCGCCAAAAATGATCATTCGAAGAGTCAGTTAATTGCTATTTAGATAGCACGGGTCAAGAGTAAGATACGCTTTGTCTTTGTGGGGTTTGACAGCTAACGCAATTAGATGTTTGTTTGGAGTTGACAGTTTACATCCGTGAAAAGATATTTTTAGAAGACTAAACATTTTAACCCTTCCCTCACTGTTCTTACATGAACTGTCTGTGCATGTTTTTAATAATAAAGGTAAGTTTTTGATTAATAGATTTGTAAGATGATGAATCCTATGCCTGTAACTCAATGTCTAAGGAATTTAAATTTGTATTGATCGTGAAACTTATCTTGACTATGACCTTCCGTCATATCAAGGTCAATACCATTTTCTTTAACAGAACATTTTTGACATTGGACATGGATTGAGAGGGAAATTTTACTCTCATGCATGACCTTGAGTGAAAATTAATTTGACTTTGAACGTCCTTTTTTGGTTTGGTTACACTTGATACCTAATGCCTGGGTCATATCAAGATTTTGGTGTATTGGAAAATTTGCTTGTTTCCACTACGGTCTGTAAAAGAAAGTCGTAGCTTTGAGAACACCTCGTATTTGGAAGGAAAATCTGCCAGTTTCAAATAAATTAATCCTAGATAACTATGGCTCAACTCATCATAAAAAATGAATAACATTATGTTCGTTAGCAAAACGTTCTGAGAGGTGCTTGTTAGGCGTCGTGTCTCGAGCGTTTAAGGCGTCGTCAATATAACGAGTGGTATACATCCGCTCTTCAAAGTGCAGCTGCACTTGACTCAAAGAAAAAGTGGAGCGAAAAGTAAACAAAGAAGCGCTTCGGGCGGATAAGCTCGTGCGAGCGTCGTATTGACGCACATAAATGTTAATGATTTTACTTGAGAAACAGCAAATAAAACTCACAAAATAAACTATTTCCTACAAATTATGCATTGCTGGAGTTAAGGCTTGTGTATTTCCTACATTGTCAGAAAGTAATGTTAAAACAGGCCTACATACCGGAATATAGCGAGTATAATGAAAATGTCAGCTTAAGGTACGTGTCCACAGATCTAACTTGAATATGGTTGTATCATCTGGTCTCCTTTGTATGTTACATATATACGTATCTAAAGTGGAGAGGATCCAAACTATATTTTTAAAATATCTGTATTTAAAAGCATATGGTGCATATGGTCCATTCAACTATCCAAGCACCTTTTAGATCACTTTGGCATTGTCAGTCTTGAACAGAGAAGATTTTTGTTAAGTTGCTGCTTTGAGCATAAGTTGCTAAGCAATCAGATTAACTCTAGTTGAACTTTAACTTTACTGTGCCTAGGTTGAATAGTAGGAACTACACCATGTTTTACCTTCCAAAAGCTTCAACAAATACTATGCTAACATCTCCTCCATACACAAGGTTAGTCATCTCTTTGACTTTGATGTGAGCGAACATACAGGTATATATTAAAGAAAAATATTGTCATATTTAAAAACCGTTCTGTGACTTAAACTATTTTCAGCTCTCCAGTACCTTTTAATATTATTCTTTATCTATTTTAGGAATAGAATTATTGTTCAGAAATATATTAATTTGCATGTGTTACTACTGCACACATAGGGTTTTTTAGTATCATCAATCGATGATATTATTTTTTGTATGCGTGCCTATTTGCTTTTCAACACTTGTATAAAATAAATGGTTAACAATTGTCAGGCTTCATCTCCCCACTACTACCGCTGCTCTATAATTACTGCTACTACCCTTGAGGTGTTTATAGAGAGTACATAGTGGACAGGTGCTGGTATAGTAAAGCTGAGTTATTAGGGATGATTAACCACTTCAATTAATTGGTATATGCGAAAGCTTTTTTCCTCGTATGCATTTGGTCTAGTTCTAAGTAGCCAGACATCGTCTCCGCAAAACTACTGCTGGTACTATTACCGTCACTTTCTTTAGGGATGATTTTATACGTTGAATGCATAATGCAGGTACAGTAATGCTGAGTAATTAGGACTGATTCACTACCTCAATCAGGAAATTGGTGTATGCGAAAGTCTTCTTCCTCACCTGTTCTCCCATAGTGTCTGTTTGACCGGAATTCCTAAGTTACTTGGTTAGGCACTGAATGATCACACCATGTTCGCGACCGCCGCCACTAGCACACATTGCGCGTCACAGGTGCGTTGATTGTTGCAGGTTTGGACAGGGGCGCATTGCACATCGACGGAAGGACCAGCAGGGACACTGGGACACCACGTCGGTAGAGGAGGATGACCGAAATCGCGGCGGCTGTGCGGCATGCCGGATTCTACATTGGTGGACAAGGGGGGGTGAAGGTAGCGTTGTATTGATTTTCCTTGACGGGGTTATAGTACAGTCGGAAGTAGATATCTTAGGTCCTGCATTTTATTCGAACCCTGTTGAATGCTGCATCGCTGAGAAACCGTCAGTTCGAGGTAGTATCTGCAGAGACGCTATTTGAATCTCTTTTAGATATACGGGGCGGGGGGCGATTCACAAGTCCTGACCAAAAATGAAACATCGTATACAGGACCGCATTTTAAGGGGAGTCTTCTATGGAACATTTTTTTCTCGAGGGATTCATTAAAAAGATACGGGGTGTTGAAATTTAAAAAAAAATTATATCTAAAAACCGTCAGCTGCAATGAACTAAAATATTTGGTATCTGGATTTACCTAAGTATTATACATATTCAAAAGTTCTTACTTAAGATTAACGTGCACTAGTGGCGGAGATACAAGGGATTGGTGCCACAATTTTTCCAAATTTATTTATTTTTTATTTTATTTAGCAACATCCAACAGCCATAGCCAATTACAGGATGGATACACATGAAAATATAAACAAATGCATGTTGTGGATGTATGTAGAGAAAGCTAAAACGCTGCAAAAAAAAACCTCAAAACAGAACTGGGAGGAAAAAAAAGCGTTCTAGCTTTACCTACCCAGCACTCAACAATCACACCGGCAAGCATTAACGAAAATAAGCATTATTGTCTCCCAAAGTCGCACAAAACGAAAATATATCTAAAACGCTATTAACTGAATTATAATTACGGCACATTATATATATAGGGGAAAACTTAAGTATGTCAGTCCTAGGCCTGGCTAAGTAAAAAGTTAAACTAGTTCGTGACGCTAATCTAGGAATTAAGAAGTTAAGTTGTTCTAAGATGACACTGGAGTCAATAATGCCATGGATGAGCTTGTGAATGAACTTAAGTGAATTCATTTTGCGTCTGCTCTCTAAATTATAGATTTTGTGTCTCGCCATCAACTCACTATGAGGAAAGCCAATAGCGGGATATATCCCGTCAGCTTTGTATGAGAGATATTTTAAAAACTTTCTTTGAACGGATTCTAAGCGGTCAATATATATTTGATGATGAGGATACCATACCAGGGACGCATACTCAAGCTTAGATCTTACATAAGCTTAGTACAGTATTTTCCGTGTAAAGGAGTTGTGAAAATCACCGGTATTTCTTACAATAAAACCTTTGATGCAGCCACGACAGCTTTTTCAATGTGATAGGAGATGGAAAGTTTTCTGTCACCAATTCTATATTCATACATCATTACCCGTGTTTTTAAAGTAAACGACAAAACGTGACACTTAGCAGCATTCAAAACAAGTCTGTTTTCACGACACCAGTTGTCAACCCTTACAATGTTGCATTGCAAGCGATGACAATCGTCAATGCTAGAGACTCTACAGAAAAGTTTCATATCGTCAGCATATATAAGAAAATCGACATCGATAACTTCAGAAATATCATTTATGAACATAATAAATAACAGAGGTCCAAAATTAGATCCTTGAGGAACACCGAACATTACAGGGTATTCGCTTGACTTATGTCCATTGCACATAACATATTGTTTCCTATGACATAAATAAGATCTGAAAAATAGCAACAATGCATCTGAAAGACCAAATCTAGATAACTTATTGAGTAGAATGTTATGGACTAAACTATCAAACGCTTTAGAGAAATCAGTATATATTACATCCGTTTGAAGTTGTCTATCGATTGATTCACAAACATATTGAGTAAGATGTAGCAAGTTAGTAACTGTGGACCTGCCCTTCATGAAACCGTGTTGACTGACGGAGATAGAAGTGCTTACATGAAAATATAGCATAGTTTGTATCACTATTTCGAATGTTTTAGCGAAATTACTGATAATTGTGATAGCCCGATAGTTTTCTACATAATTCCTCTCACCTTTTTTAAAAACAGGAGTTACCCTAGACAACTTCCAAATAGATGGAAAGTGATTATTTTTCAGAGAGAGATTGAAAATGATCATGAGTGGATATGCTAAAATGGACGCACAATCTCTCACAAAAAATGCAGTTATTTGATCAGGCCCTGCATTAGGTGTATTCAATCCCAGCCCATTGTACAGCATATCCTTCGGAATACCAGTGCAGGTTCTTTTTCTATTAACAAAAGACCAGAATTTGCCGGAGCTGTTGGATATTTCACACTCTAAAGAGTGAATGTAGCGACGATATGAAACAGCTACATGTTGCTTTATCTCTATCTTTATAAAAATGGTACGTCACTGTTTTTTTTCAAAACGATCAATATGGCGAGTTTTACCTTTAATTTACAAATAATTACTCTTGTGTTTTACCCTATAGTGCATTGTTTTCGTAAAAATGAAAAAAAAAACAAAGGATAGAGCTTTATTCCAATAAACGTTCAAAAAGATCACCATTCTGACGGATACAAGTGCGGCATCTTTTTAACAATGAGAAAAATATTTCCGCAAAGTTTGTTGTGGCTTGAATTTGATGAAACGCATTGTACTTTATTGTAGCTGATCAACGGTATTAATTTGTTCAGCATACAAGAGTTGTTTAAAAGCGCCCCACAAAAAAAATCCAGGAGGTTCATTTCTGATGATCCACCGTTGTCTAAAATGATTATTTAACCATGCGGTTATGTCACGATGAACATGCGGTGGGACAAAAGTCGAAATGGTGACGTGACGCCAATAGAGTTTCGCTTAAGAACTGTAATTTCATCTTTCTCATTATTTATGAAGATTTTCTTGAGCAATATAGATTGTAACAAATTAGGGGATATTTGAATTACATATTCCTATTGCGACTTGCTCAATGCTTAATTTTTGAATTTGAAGGGCTATATAATTGAAAAAACACATGACTATATCACTGGTGATATTTAAGCCAGAAACATTTTTCGGTTCAACCTTGAATCAAGCCCTTGCTGTCCTTCACAGAGACCTTGACATCCCTTACCTAAGGAAATACATCAAACAACAAGCGCAGCTACGTTACAGTCAAGCAGAATCGCATAACAACCCTTTGTTGCGCGAGTCAGTAGACTACACAGTCGAGCAAGTTCGCAAGCACACAAGGCCGCGACTTGCACTGTGAACAAAATTAAATCGTGCGACTTTATGTCCAACCAAAATTATAATTTTTCTTCAACAACCAATCCCAAAATTAATTCTAGGATCAATTTAAAATTGCCGAATACTAACTAGCAATGCCAAAGCATTCCTCGAATTGATGCACTTCTTTTTTCTTTGCTCTCCCTCCTTCCTTCCTTTCTTCTTCCCTTCTTTCTCCCTGACTTTGTTTGGTATCTGGGCAACCAGACCTGACAGACCTACTGACTTACAAGACTTCAAGCAAGAGCAAAGGTCCTACGGACCGCTCTGACAGACAATGACGAATAGTATAGCCCTTGCTGTATAATTTGGGGATATTCAATTATCATCACGCTGCTCTTTCATCAGTTTTTTCTAACTTCAAGGTATGGTGATTTCAATGCAAACATAACAACATATTTGCTGACAAAAATATTACATTTTCTTAGAATGCCAATCACGTAACTCAACGAGGGATGTCTTTTAAGTTTTGCATATAGAAACATAGTAGGCCGCGCGGATCGAACGTCTGTACTGAATCTTAACCTCATCCCTTAGTAAACTTTAATTCAAAGTTTCACAAAAATACGTGCAGTGTTCTCACTACAGTGAATTTTTAAGTGTCACCAAGTCATTAGAAAAATGGAAGTCAACCGAGAACATTTTCGCGCCATAATTTATTACAACTTTCAGAGACAATTATCGCAACCAGAATGCCTTGCTGAATTACTGTCTGTTTTCAGCAACGAAGCGCCACATCAGTCAATTTTCCGTTGGTATGAAGAATTCAAACGCGGACGGGTGACTCTTAGCGACGATCCCAGGGTGGGTGCACCAAAAACGGCAGTCACCCAGGAAAACGTCGATGCTGTGCGCAAACTCATTGAAGATAGACATGTGACATATCGCGACATTGAGGCATCCTTGAAGATCTCAAAGACCTCAATTCAAAAAATTTTACAAGAAGAATTAGGAGTAAGAAAATTAGTTTGTCGTTGGATACCCCACCTGCTGACTGAAGGGCAGAAAGCAGCCAGGGTTAATTGGTGTCAAAAAACGCTTGACCGTTTCAATTCCGGAAACTCAAAAAATGTGTACAGCATTGTTAGTGACGATGAATCGTGGATTTACTGTTATGAACCAGAAAATAAACGACAGTCGGCCGTTTGGGTGTTCCAAGGTGAAGAAAAGTCAACAAAAGTCATCCATTCTTGAAGTGTTTCGAAAAAGATGGTCGCGACATTTGTGTCAAATATTGCAACAATTCCTCTTAATGAACAAAAAACTGTTACTGTGTATTGGTATACCACCATTTGCTTGCCAAAAGTCATCACCGAGCTTCGAAAAATCAACCCCGAATGAAGAATCATCCTCCACCAAGACAATGCAAGCTCGCACACAGCCCAAAATACAAGGCAGTATTTAACGGAAGAAAACGTGGAATTATTGGACCATCTTCCATATAGTTCCCATCTAAGTCCTAACGATTTCTTCACTTTCCCGAAAATTAAAATCAGACTGCGTGGTCAAAGGTTCCAGTCACCAGAAGAAGCAGTTGACGCATTCAAAAATGCCGTTTTGGATCTTCCAGCAAACGAGTGGAATAAATGCTTCGAAAATTCGTTCGAGCGCATGCAGATGTGTATTAATCTTCGTGGAGAATACTTCGAAAAACAATAAAGTCATTTAAAACTACCTACCGTGTTGTTTTATTTCCATATGCAAAACTTAAAAGACATCCCTCGTAATTGAAACTTTCTTAATATTTGAAAAACACACAACCTTCTTTAAAAACCTTGTATCCGACACAGAATCACCTTTGCAAGTTTTATAATGTTT